GTCTCACTAATCCCCTTCTTTCATTTCCTGCCTCTTTTTTTTTTTTTTTTTTTTTTTTTTTTTTTTTTTTTTTATTACCTTGTACTCGTATAAAGACAAAGAGTTCACGTTAGATGAATAAAACAAAAGAGAAGCTTTATCTGTATTAAGAGCGTGACCGCGTAATATGTTTACGTAGCGGCGATAATAATTCCCTTTGTGGAATATGGTAAACGTTGGGAGAAGATATTTCGATACTCTCTTCGCGCGCGCAATCCTATACAGAATATAACGAGAAAAGGTTTTCCTCGCAAGCACTACACTCTAACTAATTATTCGAGATTAGACTTAGCTCGCACTTCGGCGGAATTATGTATAACGACACACCCTTTACACAAAGTGTGTTACTCACAAGAGAATTTACACGAACTGTATTTATGATAAAAGAGTGGCTCAAGTCTGTATTGTTTTGTACAATACATTGTGTTTACGAGAATGAAACAATAAGAAAAAATCTTTAAATACATTGAAAATATTTTAATATTCATAGACAGTAAAACCAGAGTCGGAAAGCTAATATTAAACGTTGTCAAATTAAATAAATATTCTGTTAATTTATGCGTCATGTAGCATTAATTTAAATGCGACGTTTGTTTTAGATCAAGAACGATTATCGATACAAAATTTGGGACTACAAAAATTCTCACGACGACGACACACAGTCCACAACGTCGTTCATAGAATTTCGCGCGACAGACGATATGTTTCGCAAAGGGCGTCTGCACTTACGTTGCACAGCTTTCATATCAGATGTTTATCGGAAATCGGCGGACATCGAAATCACCGAGGACGTGCCGCGTATCGCATCGATCACCGGCGAATCACCACCGTACGATATCCGTAAGTACCTCTCGATACTTTGCCTTTTTTTTGTGTTGTTTTTGAGCATCACTTTAGTCTGTCCAGAGATATAAAACTTGTCCTATTTATATAGAAAATAATTCTGCTGTCTCTTCAAAATACTGATGCACATTTTGTCAACTTGCATCCTCAATAATAATAAAGTATCATTTTTACTTTTTATCGAGACATGTTTGAAAGTTCTAGATATTAAACATCGCGTGCACAATTTTTTTATTCCGTGTATCTTTTTGTAAAACTTTCGAAATATTCACAATCGCGCGATTGAATAAATAGCAATCGTCGAACTTGCAACTAACTTGTAACAAGATCGGCTTTGCACGCATGTGCGTGCTTATTGTAATGACAATTAATGTTTCACAAAAGAAATGAAGAGTAACGGTAAACAAAGAAAGACAGCGACGGGAACATTTTCTAAGTCATATATCGATGCGTCGTCGCGTGTCGAATCAATGTGGCGCATCGCTAGATACAGAACTAAATCAAACTATCTCCGACAAGTGGAAAACGGCAAAAGTGGAACGAACATTAGTTCGATACATCTATTGCGACTGCTTGCCGTATTGAACCGAACGGACTTTGTTGATCAAGCTAAATGGGATGGCACTATATCGAACATAAATGCTCTTTCTATGCATGAGTACAACGTAAAACGGCAAACGTCGAGCAAAATCGAGCAGCAAATTTAACAAAGCACAAAGTCGATCGAGCATTTCTTCTCTTTCAAGTTTTATAAAGTATTAAAGATATTTTTGTAAGATTGTTAATTTTTGTTAAACCAGTAAACATCCAAACGATCGTTGTTACCCCCAAAAAAATACGAGTTCACAGAATTATAAATTCAGTGTTGATAATCATTTTCTGAAATTACGATACACAGTCTTGCTCTTCCTTGTCGTAATTCAAAATAAATGTTTGATTTCGACGCTCGCATGTAGTTTCGCGTGATAACGCAAGCACATAGCGGAAGGAGCATTTCTAGAAGCGAGTGTAATAAGGCTAACAGCGACAATAACATTTATGGCCGCGCGACCGTATGAATGTATCGCGCCGCGTGCAATCTTTCACGTGAATCACGCCGTGCGGCGACAGTTATGTGCTCCTCCTTGCAAGTATCAGCCAAGAAGCCGAAGGACTCCCATGATTGTTTCCAGCTGAAAAAGCATAGCGCCGTTATCCAGTTACAGAAAATGATATCACATTCGTCTTATCGATCGAATCGCTTTAATGCGTAGCTCACTTTCAACTCTCCCCGGCCGTTTGCACACGTGCGGTCGCAGAAAGAAAATTCGCTCCCTTTTGTGAGAGAGTGGAAGCACGACTCATAAAAATTATCTCTTTTATTGCTGCATCGATGACGTTTACGACTTGATATGTAAAGCAATTAATAAAATCGAGTAGCACGTTGAAGTTTTACGTCGAATATTCAATTTGCGTCAAACTGTTTCGAGCCATTATCGCGCTGCCTTTCAATTACCACCTAATTGTATTATGCAAAGTATGGTGCGCGTCGTGATTATCAATCACGCTTAGGGGGAGCATCTCCGTGAAAGTATTGTATCGTGACAGCGTTAAGAAGTTGTTGTAGGAGTTGTTGGTGGTGCGTGCTCTTTCTTCCTACGTCTATATCTTCCGGTAGAGATTTACTTAAGGCTGATAAAGAGCCGCGCTATTTTTCTAAAGATTTTTAAATTGCCGAGCGGTTTATAAATAGGGGATTATACCGGGGATACACGCGCGCGCGCGCGCGCGGTGTTGTACAGACCATATTTCCTCTCCGCGTGCGCACAAAGCCGCAAAACTTCCTGAGGATCCCTCGCCGCGAAACCATTAATCAATGATGGGAAGAAGGGAAGGGAACGAAGAGAAAGAAGGACAAGGCCGAGAGTTACCAAGTTATTTGATTGACACCATAAAGATCGTTAATAGCAAGAGTGCCATCGTATCAGCGCGCGAGTGGCGTACGCATTTATCACAATGTCGGTAACAGCAATTTACACAAACACGCATACAAGCAGTATATACGTCCCTCGTTCGCGTAATTTAACGATGATTAAACTGTGCCTCATTACAAGAGGTAACAAAATGTAATTGAAATCGCTTGTTGGCCGATATCGATCAAGCCTGTCGACGCCTATTTATTCGCACAACAGAGACGAGACTCCTTTCGCGAAGAGAATCGTTTTTACGTAAAATATATTCAAAGAGAGAAAGAAATGTGTGTATGTGTCTGTGTACCGATATTAATTAAAACTCTCGGACGCGAGTGAAATATCGCGCGTTAATATTCTTTATTTTGCGCGTAGAATATTAAATAAAAACAAAATAAAAGTAACCGATTATGACTCACGATTATTTCCGCGGAATAAAGATCCACGTCGTGAGAAGGAGTAAGAGAGAGAAACGAGCTTCTACTTCTCTCTGAAATTGTCGGCTCACTTAGGTCTTGCCCCTCTCGAAACCACTGGCACTATTAATCAATGAGGAATTCAGCAATTAACGTTCCGGTTTTATTAACGTGTCGCGAGAGTTCCGTCGCATATAGACGTGTTTGTGTGTTCGTATATGTAGAATATGTGCGGAATATTTATAGATAATATAGATATTTTATATTCTGAGATATATCAGTTCGTTTTATATATGAATATATATACGCATATATCCATGTAAAAACTTAGAAAAACGAATTTCTATTTTTAAAATATCGAGAGAGTAGTTTTGGCACACGACGCAAATGTATCAGCTTTAGTCTAGCTCGAGTGAATTCGCGAATTCAAAGTTGCTGCGTTGACACTATTCGACTGTGAAGATACGAGCAAATATAACGGAAATTTTGTGCGCGACAAAATGTATCTTTTTGAATTATTTTTACATAGTAACTACAAGATATACACGTGCTAGAGGAGAGAGAAATACGAAATTGTTGTAATTATTATATAAACACATTAATAAATTGAAAGAATATGTTGAAAATTTTATAGAGCGAGAACTTATAAACAGATGCAAAGTTTTATCAATCGAATAAACGAGAAATATATTGATTAAATAATTTAAAAAAATATAGAGGAAGATTTGCACAGTTTTGACTAGTCAAATAAAAGAGAACTATACCTGGAACGATCATAATTCATAAATCGTAGTGAGTTTCGAGTCGAGCAGTCGCACATATCCGCGGCTTCTTTTTTTTTTTTACTCCCGATGAATTTGCATATCCGGTTGCACTGCCGGCTCAGGAAAATTTGCATGGTCGGCTGCGCAGCCAGGTAATGGAATTGGTGTGGCAGTCTATAATCCGCATTGAGATCGACCGTCTGCTCAACCTGAAAATCAAGCGGTCTATCCTCTACGATCGATACCTATAATAATGTGTACGGTATGACAATACGGTGAGGTCGGAAGATTAGAAATTCCATCGCATCCATATTCAGTCAAGCAAGATCCACGTTGATAATAGGCATACGATGCGCGCGCGCGACCATACACGCAAGAATGAATAAAACTTTCATTAGTATCAGATTCTGTTTTTCACAAAGGTCGAATTAATAAGGCGACGAAAATATTTGTCATGTTAACAAAAACCTTTCTCGTGTCACGTAAACAGTACTGAAATGTTTATTTAATTTATTGCAATTTTCACACTTTATTTAATATTTTGAAATTCTGGTTTCGTTACAAGAGAGAGAAAGGAATCAAATAAAATCCTTGATTGCGCAATCAGAAAGGATAGCGTAACCACGGGAGTTCAATATTCTACATTTCTACTGTGCGGTAACGTCGCGGACGAACGATATAAATAAGCGAGCAGATTAGAAATTCCACTGTATCTATGTTCAATCATTTCCCAGAAAGCGAAGCGCCGCCGGCAGGCGGTCGTTAATATTCATCTCCGCCTGCCGGCGCCCTTTAGATTCGCCCTATCCTCAGAATTGGAAAGGAATCGCAGCTCGATACGTCTCCGGTAAGAAGACAGCCCGCGCCTTTCTTTTCTTTCGTTTTTTTTTTGTCGTCGTCGCTCTCGTCCTTTTCCTGAAAGAAATCGGACCGGCTCCATCCCCCATTGGCAGGATATACGTTTCGCATTATCGATGCGAGGCGAGTTCGCGCTCTCGAAGGTATCTCGGAATAGTAAGCACCCGGGCGTGCGCGCGAATGTCGAAGTCTGCAAAGTGAGGAAAGGGCCACGGAGAAGTAGCAGAAGAGTGCGAAGCGAAAGTTGGCCGCCAGAGGAAGGAAAAGCATTACAGGAGGGTTAGGAAGAGCGCGCGCGCGCGCGGGGAGAGTCGTCTTTCCGTGAAGAAATTCGCTTCGATTAGTAAGTTGGAGACGTAAGCTCCATCCCGAACCGGATTTGGCTTCTTGGACATTCATGAGACGGTTTTTCTTATTTCAATATCGTTACGTATACGCGCCTTGCGTGCAGTAATACTTGTTCGAAAAGTTCCGAAAATACGTAAGCGTTACGCTTTTTTTTCTGCAAAATATTGCGTTAGAAAATATGCGAGATACTTACAATGTTGCTTTTTTATTTGTACGAATGATAATGACAATCGTATACCTGATAATGTTGTACATCTTGTACGAAAATTGAACTTCGATTTATTGTTGCGAGATAAAAAATCGTACAACTGTTGTAGAGAAGAATATGAAAACGTGTATCTTTTTACGTCATTATATCGAAATATACGCTATAATGCAAGAAACTTCGATGAATTTTGTAGTTGCTCAATTTGTTAAGTCGCACGAAAGCGCAAGAAAACAAACAGGATGAAACCTCTTCATGCTCGTTATTCCAAATCTCTGTACGCACGTTCTCTTAGACATTTATTTGTAACAGAAAAGATATCTCAAAATGGATATCTCGCGCATGATAAATTATATTAAAAAATGATATGGATAAATATGATAAATTTATACGAAAAAAAACATAGATTAATATATAACTCTGATATAAATCTTTGTTATATATAACGATGTAATAA